GTGGGATGGGCTATGTGCTGGTCCCTTGCGATGACTCTCTGGCCTCTGAATGGCTCCTTTTTTTCAGTTGTTCTGGCTCCTTGCTCCTGTGTGGGTCCACAGGAACCCTATTACTGGTCTTGCTGGCCTGGGGCCACCAAGTCCCTCTTCTCCCCTGCCACCTCCAAGCAACTCCATCCAAAAGGCACAGCTGCAGCTTTTGCTGGCTCCTGCTCCGTGCGCTCAGCAGCTCCAGCCTTAAAGTGGCCGTGGCGCGAAATGGTTGGAGCAGATTTTTCTTTCTCTTATCATGGCTTCTCCTGCCTTCATGCACTCCCTAGGTCTCTCCTCCTCTTCCCCTGAGCTCTAGTGGCCCCAGCATGGCTGTTGTTACATTTTTGTAGTTGTAAATTGGTTGATTTGTGGGAGAGAGTGATGCTGGGGACTGTCTATTCCACCATCTTGAGTAGAAGCCTCCCAACTCATTTTTTTTTTTTTTCCCTTTTTGTCTTTTTTCGTGACCGGCAACGGATTGCAACCCTCAGTGTCGCGCCCATACCGGACTGGGACCGGCAACAGGATCGCAACCCTCGGTGTTGCGCCCGCACCTCGCTCAGCCAGTGAGCGGCCGGTCTGTATGTGGGATCCGAACCCTCGGCGGGAGCGCCACCATGCTCCCAAGCGGCACACTGTAGCAGTGCGCCACTGGGCCGGCCCCTCCCAACTCATTTTTTTTTTTTTCCTTTTTTGTCTTTTTTCGTGTCCGGCAATGGATCGCAACCCTCAGTGTCGTGCCCGTACCGGACCAGGACCGGCAACGGGATCGCAAACTTCAGTGCTGCGCCCGTACCTCGCTCAGCCAGCGAGTGGGAACCGGTCTGTATGTGGGATCCGAACCCTCGGCGGGAGCGCCACCATGCTCCCAAGCGGCACACTGTAGCAGTGCGCCACCGGGCCGGCCCTCCCAACTCATTTTTTGAGGCCACTGGTCTGATACTCAAACCAGTCAAGGATGCTACAAGGAAAGTACAGACTGGTATCCCTTATGAATATTAACACAAAAATCCTTAAAATAGGAAGTCATCAAAATCAGCAATATGTATAAAAGGTAATATATCAGCATCAAGGTGGGGTTCACTGCAGTAATGCAAAATTGGTTTTACATATAAAAATCAATCAAAATATGCTGTTTAAAAGATAAGGTTGGGAATAGATGTTGAAAAAGAAAGTCTTACAAGTTTGTACAATTTTAGTTGTTTTGAGAATTGATAGCTGTAGGTAATAGCGACCCTCCCTGTGACAGGTGTTGGGCTAAGAATATTATGTGCTTATTTTGAACTTAGGGCATTTTATTAATCGTTTTAGTATGTTTCTCTTGTTGCATTTACTTTTTTTGTTTAATTTTATCATGAACACCGATTTCATTTCTTTGGGATGGCTGTTTCAATTCAATTTGATATTTGCTGAGTGCCCCTTATATGTTTGGAACTGTACAGGGGACACAAAGCTGACTCTGCCCCATATCCTGACCTCACGGAACTCTCAGTGGGGTGGGGGTGGATCAGCTCTAGAAACTTACCTGAATAGAATTGGGTACAAAGTAGTCTAGAGGTGGAAGAGGTGTTAGGGTCTGGTGTTCTGGGAAGACGTCCAAGCCAGCAATAGAGATTTGGGAGTTACCGGGTCCTGGCTGGTAATCACCTTCTGAGAGGATAGTGGGGAGGCGGGGAGGCTGATGGTGGAGCCCTGAGCAGTCCCAGAGGTGATGGGTGACAGGTGTGGTAGAGGCAAGCCACAGATTGGGTGGGCAGGCCTGGTCAACGTGATGATTGAAACTGAACTTGGATTCCTCCCCAGACCTGCTCTGCTCCATCTTCCTGTCTCTGTAAATGACACCACCTCTCTCCCAGCTGCTCCAGCAGAAGATGTGCTGTCATCCTTCACTGGGGACGTGGATGTACAGTGCTAGACCTGAGGAGGCCAGGCAGACAGAGAGTGCTGGTCACCCGATCCTTCCTACTTCTCTAACCTATGTTCTATGTCCACTCACCACCACAGTCACATAGTGTGCCCTTCCCGTCACCCCCAGTGCTGTCCCTGTCATCTGGCTTGGGTGGTGGCAGCAGCCTCCTGACTGGCCCCCACTTCCGCTGCTGCCCCCCACATTCTGGGCTCTACATGACAGCTGCAATGATTTTTTTTTCTTTAATATTTACCATAATACTGTTAAATAAAAGAATACATCTAAAATGTATAAATCAAGAACTTTAAAATAGGAGCGATTTAGGGAGTAATTATAAGATTTTTAAAATAGTGTTTTCCAAAATGTATTTGTTGGGGCACTAACGCCACGAGTTGTTCCTTAAAAAAGAAGAAGTTAAAGGGTCACATAACTATGGGAGATGGTATGTGCTCTGTTTCTCACATGGAGTGTCACAGTGCACATTAGTGTGTTACAGAATCTGAGGCCTTCTGCTGTAAGAAACTTGGGCTTTCCTTAAGCCCACTCTTTCTCAGATGTACTTGGAAAATTTTACGGGGTAATACCTTTTCACATTCCACAAACCACTCATTGGGCAGTGCTGGGCAATTAAAATGGAAAGAGAGACAAGCTTCAGCTTTTTGAGTGGGGAGTCTTCTACCAGAGAGATTTATAGAATTCCAGTCCCTGTAGTCAGGGTTATTGCAGGTTCGTGTATTATGGGTTCAAGTCTATGAAATGAAATTAAAAAAGAAAGAAAGAAAGATACAACAATCACAGTAATTTGTTGAACTTTCAAAAGGAGAGAACAGAACTGAGGTTATTAGAGGTGGGAGGGGAGGTTAATGAGAAATTGGTCAAGGGCCACGAAAAGGGATTACATTCTGTGTTGTTGGATGTACGAATCATCCTGATGTGAGCGTCACATGTTGCACACAGGTGCAGATATTCAATGCAGTACCCAACAGATATGTACAACCAACTGTGTTTCAATAAAAAATGAAAAAGAGGAATGGATGCAGGAATGATCTTAAAATCGCGCATCAGTTTCTGTCATCTTGCTTGGAATCTGCCCTGCTTCTTGTGCTACTTGGAGTAAAAGCCCAGCTTCTGTGAGCGCTCTGGCTGCCCTTCCGCCGTTGCTCCCCACCCTTGCCCTCGCTCCGTCTGCTGCAGTCACGCGGGCTTTCTGTTCTAGAATGTCCCTGGGATTTTGTTTCTGTTCAGCTATGGTGAGGCCGACAGATCACAAGACAACTGCTGTTGAAAGATGGTTTGTTACTCACAGTTCCCAAGAGGAGGGGGCAGGCTGGGCCATGTAGGGCCTCATGGCGAAGCACTGGGTGCTCAGGAGGCAGAAAGGGTTGAGGGGAACTTGTGGGCAAGAGCCTTTATTGTGGCTTCCGTGGGAAGGAGTGGGCGAGGCAGGGTAAGCAGCTGCACAGGCTTAGGAGTGGCCAGTGTGAATAATTTCAGCAGCCTCTGATTCTAGGGAGGCCCTGGTTGCCTAGTTCTTGGCCCCAGTGCTGGGGAAGAGGAGTACTGTCTCCTGGAGTGGAAGAGAGTGGTGCAGGGGCGGGGGACAACCTGGATTGGTTTGTTCCTAGAAGACAAGCCATTTTCTGTCTTTAGGAACTAGCCAGCCTTGGGAGGGGCATTCTCTCCCATCAGTGAGGCCCCAGATGCCAGAGCAGGGAAAATACAGCAAATAGGAAGATATTGTTAATAGACCCAAATAAGGTGATAGATGTCTTGCCGGTCCCTGGGCACCCAGGCTCTCTGCTGCCCGTTATGCCTGGCGCACTCTCCAGATACCCTGTGGCTCTTATGCTCCTCTTAGTTCTCAGCTTGAATGTCATCTGCTTGGAGCACCTTCCCTGACCATTCTCGCTAAAGTAGCAGACCCACGTGTCTCTCCTCTCACCCTGTTTTTCTTCATGTAAGCCCTGGAAGGGCACAGATTTTGTCTGTTTTGTTCTCTGTTGTATCCCTAATGCTGGAACAGTGCCTGGCACAGAGTAGGTACACAGGATAGACGACTAATTAATGTTTGTTAAGTGAATGGATGGAGGAAAGCAGAGAACTATTTGTACCAGGTAAGAACTATGGCGTTGCTGGTTGTAGCCAGTAACAGAGGAACTGAAGGCCAGAACAAAAACTTACTATAAGTGGTACAGCTGTGGGAAAGGGCACCATCTTTTTAGTGTCTGGTTGCTTTGTTCTGTAGTTGTAACCACAATTTCTCAACCATCAAAGATATGCTTTTCCTTCGCTAATACCACCCAAAATAATTCTGGCAAGTTGAGAATTTAGAGTTTCTGGTTATGTCAGGACGGACCCATTTGGTTGCAAATGATTAAAAAAAAAAAATCGCTCCTGCTGAGGGTTCGGATCCCATGTGGAGACCGGTTCCCGCTCACTGGCTGAGTGCGGTGCGGGCGCAACACCGAGGGTTGCGATCCCGTTACCGGTCAGTAAAAAAGACAAAAAGGAAAAAAAAATCCATCCAAAAAGGCTTAAGCTAGAGGCAACTTATCAATTCGTATAACAGACAAATCCACAGTTAGCATGAGCTGAATCAGGTGTGGTTTGATTCAGACTGTCATGCGATATCCCCTGGACTTGTTCTCTCTTGGCCCCACATGGTGACAGAGTGACTGCCAGCAGCTCCAGGCTGCATCCTGGCAGGTACTTCTGTGTCTGCAGCTCTGAACTCTGGTCTCATAGGCTCTGGGTGAGTCTTGGGCCTGTGTCTGTTCCAGGGGACTTCAGTGCTTTGATTGGCCAGGAGAGGGCTGAGCACTTTGACTTAGAACCCCACCAACACCGATGGCTGCAGGAGAGAGGGAGTTCTCCAAAGGGACATGGGGCTACTGATCACCTAACAAGTGGGATGGATGCCGAGTGGCCCACGGTCCACTCGAGTGGTCCCTCAGTGATGGGGACTGCTCATGACAGTGTTGGGGACTGCTCATGACAATGCTGGGGACTGCTCATGACAATGTGGACTCTTCAGGGCCAATTCCCTGCTGTCTCCTAGGGTATGCTGGAAGTGCTGTCCCAGGTGGAGTGCCATCTTCGAGTGTCTTTCTTTGATGTCACCTACCGACACTTTTTTGGGAGGACGTGGAAATCCACAGTGAAGCCAACCAAGCAGCTCTCGAGGCAGCTGTCCAGGATCGTCTTCAATGAGGTGGGCCCTGGCAATGGCGGGTGGGGGCTGCTCCGTGGTGAGGGGCAGGTGTGCAGGGTTTTGGGGTGTGTGGTCCAGAGAGTGGGGCATCAGCTCAGAGAGGATCGGTGATTGCAGACCTGTAGGAGTGCCGTGGAGCTGCAGGCTGAGTCATGAAAAGCTTGTATTAGTGGCAGGGCGCTTTGTTCCCAAACGGAATCTTATGTGGAAGCCAGATATAAACAGATGAAAATGCTCTGCTCCAGTTGAAGTGATGGGGGTGTCGTCACCTCCAAGGAACCTTGGGGTTCAAGTAACAGAGTTAGGAAATTATTGATCTCATCTGCTGCTGCTGCTGCCTCCTCTTCTCCTTCGTGTTCTCTCTCTCAGATGGGGAAATTGAGATTTCCACCTTGCACAGGTAGAAGGTGGCGAAGCCCGGACTCAGTTCCGCAGGCAGATACTCCGCGCCTGCTCTTTGCGGGCCATTGTGCTGGGTGCAAGGGTGGTGACGGGGCTCCCCTGACAGCACTTACAGTCTGTTGGGAGTAATTCAAAGTTGTGATAAGTTCTCAGAACGGGGAGACCTGCTTTAGGCAGGGAGATGAGGGAGGGCCTCTCTGTGAAGCTAACGCTTAACCTGGAACCTGCAGGATGAAAAAGAAACTGTCCCTGTGATGAGCAGGGATGAGGATGCTTCAAGCAGAGCAGGGTGAGCTCGTGCACAGGTGTGAGACAGAGGAAGTCTGAAGATGTTGGGCCCAGGGCCTGGCAGAGCAGGTGTTAGATGATGGCAGGTGTTAGGGGTGAGAGGAGGGCTTGGGGGCTGACACGGCAGGTGGTAGGAATGGTAGAGGACCCAGGGTTTGGTGCAGTGGGTGGGGTTGGTAAGGTGACTGAGCAGTACCTCCTTGGCTGTATCCTGATGGGCCTTCTTAAGGACACTGGGATTTTACTGTAAGAGTTGGGGATGTCATGGAGGCCTTTCCCCATGCCTGTCTGCTGCTTCACCACTGAGATTGAGGGGGGAGTGTCCTAGAGGGGCCACGTCTGAACACAGAGGGTCTGTAGTGATTTGACTCCTGCAGGTGACGATCAGAGGGTCTGACCTGTTTTGATTTTTTATTTTATTTTGCTTTTGATTTATCTTTCTCGGGTGTACAGAGTAAGGCCCAAGGAAGCCTGGTATTGTGGCAGTTTGTATGATGAATAGTGGTGGTGGTGATGATGGCTGTCCTTTGAGACATTCCTGTGGGGACTGCCCTGACCACAGTTGGTGCTCCACCTTGGGCTGGCTGTGAACATGCTGCTCTCTGTGTCTGGCCATCACCCTGTGTTAAGGTTGTGTGTATCTTGGCATGGATTGATTCTGACTGTTGCCCTTACTTAACATGGGTAGGAGAGGGTGAAAATGCCCCCAGAGGTCAGGAAGATTGAATCAAGCCTTGGTAAATTGTATGTCCTGGAAACTAAGAATGTATCTGACACTAAGGCTGTCAAACAGCTTATGCACATTCTTCCTAAAGGTCTCTCTGGCCAGCGTGTCAGAGAGAGGAGATTTCATGTTGTAAATCATGTGCGACTGAAGGCAGCCCCATGCAGTGCTGTCTCAGAACGGGCAGTGAATCGCCTCGCGCCCCTGCCACAGCAGAAAGAGGCCTGTCCTGTGTTTCTGTGGACAGCGATCTGCTGATAACCTGGCTGGGGCTCAGTCTCTGCTGCCTTTCAGCTGTCCAGGGTTGGGCTGTTTTGATTTTATTTTTCTGGTGTGTACAGAGTGAAGCCCTAGGAAGCCCTGTGTTGTGACAGTTTGTACGATGAGTAATGACCACTGTGATGATGGTCGTTCTTAACTGGGGTGGGGGACTTGCTCTGGGCCAGGTGTTGGCTCAGGAGTACGTTATGTCACTTCATGCTTGGCAGCCTCCTGGGGGGGGTCAGCATTCTTATGTCCCCAGCTTAAAAAGGAGGAAACTGGGGGGGTGGAGATGGGTGACTTCCCCAGGCCATGAGGTGGGCGAGCAGCAGGGTTGGCTGGTGAGCTCGGTGAGTCTGACTGCTCTGTCTGTGCTCTAACCACAGTGTCCTGTCACTGTTTTGAACCTCATGTGTCAGTGGGGCCCGCATTTTTATCTTGGAAGTGTTCCGCAGAACGTTGAGGGACAGGATCCAGCTCTGAAACCAGCACAGGGATGCTTTGCAGGCACTGAGGTTACATGAAGTGCTCCCTATTCCTTCTGCTCCTTGCCCCTGTTTTAGCTTTCTGTTTTGAGAGGGGCGGGATGGGCCTTACGCCGCCATCTGTGCTGTTCATGGTGCTTTACACCTGGGCAGGCGTGGGCTGCAGCTCAGGAGCGGGGTCTTCCATCTCCCCGATTCTGTGGTTACAGGGTAATCGTCCCTGTAGACACCAGTCTCACTGTAGGGACCAGGCATCAGAGTGGACACTTCTCCTCTGTACGTCTAGGGTTGACTCATGCCACCGAGAGGGCTCCCGCTGCCGCAGAAGCCCAGCAGCACCTGCAGCCTCACTGTATCCTGGTGGCTTGTACCTCAGGCCCGCTTATTCACAATGCAGAGCTCAGTCTGGGAAGTGGGAGTCAGTCACTCAGGCCGAGTCTTGGATGCCTGTGCTGGTGGCTCCAATGGTAGTTGCTGTTGGAGCTGCTCCAGCTTAGCTGTGGCCACTTCCTGGATGTCTTCTTCTAGGCAGGGGTAGGGGTGAAGGACAAGTGGAGCACAATCCTTAAAGTTTCTGGAAAAATCTGGGCTCTCAGCTTTGGGTTACTGAGGTAGAGACTGCAGCCAGGTTAGTGTGGGGTGGCCAGAGCATTTTCAGTGGTGCGGGTGATGCTGAAGCCGCTGAATTGCTTGGGGCACCTGCTTTTCTCCTGCTGCTGTGCCCAATGCGAGCAGCAGAGGCCAGTGGTGGCCCAGGAATGAACCCCATCCTATGAGCTATTTAGCAACATCTTCCATCCCGGGCAGCTTGACTCCTTGACATTCAGAATGCAGAAAAACAGGTTTTGTTCAAGTTCAGTTGACTAAAGAGAGTCCTCCTTCGCTATGCATTTGTGTGTGTGTGTGTAGCACGTGTGCATGTTTATGTACACACATGGTTGAGGTGTGGAAGCCTCCATGGGTGGGCATTTATTTATAGGCACTAGGATGTGGTTCTGTGACAGCCTCAAGCTGGCTAACTGTTCTCCCTACACACCTGTGGGAACAGAGGCCAAGTACTGTGTGCTCTTTTTAGAGGTGATTCTGAGATTTACCAGAGTCTTTTTCTGGTTTTACTAATTGCCTGTGTTTTCTGGTTTTACCCATCAGCAGTGGCATGGGGGTGATGTGATTGGAGGCTGGTGAGCTTCCAGGAGCAGGGACCGTATGTGGAGCCACTGTGGGTGTGCAGTTTACACAAGGACTTGTGAGTCGGCCTCCTGTGCTCTGGGTCTTATTGAGCTGTCAGTGTGATAGTAGCCCTGAGAGAAGATGCTGCTTTACTACTTTGTAAACAGCAGTGCCCTGAAAAAAGACTTTGAACAAAGAAGCCTTGCTTTGAACCTGAGCTGGGTGGTGTTTTTTTCTGTAATTGATGAATTCTTTGCCCTGTGCTCATATTCCGCTCACGGGCTCTGCCTCTTGGCTCTGCCTGGTGGGGCCCAGGCAAGCTTCCCCGAGACCTCTCTCAGCTCCAAGCTCAGAGTTCAGTGTTCACCTCTGAGACCTTCTGTGGTGGAGAGGAATTGCCTTTTACTTCCTGAGACAGCTAATAATTCATTCAACCTCTAAAAAAGTATCTTTAAAAGAAATAATCCTGGAGGCCAAAGCACCGTGCAACTTCTACATTTTCTTTTTGAGATGGACATAGTTTTCCCTTAGATTCTTTCCTGAACTAGTCATAGCTCAGCCTTTCATGGCAGGCCAGTTTTCCTCCTTGACTTATTTGAGGAGAGTTGCAGGGTAAGAGTCCTGGTGGTTCTCGACAGACAGTCCTAACCCAAAGCAGGGGCTTCTTTCCTTTCAGAGCGCCCTAGCTCCACGTGTTGCTAAAGTAGGAGGGTGCGTCACCTGCCCTCGCCGAGTGACCCAGGTAATTGGGTTGCTTTCCCTTCCCGTAACTAAAGCTATGAGAAAGCAACCCTCGAATGGCCCTTATTCATCAGAATAATGAGAGCGATGTAATTTCCCCTTTAAAAGTGGATGCTGTCAAGGAATATCAGTGTAATCCAGTGAAACTGCTGGAAGCCCTTCCACACACCCTGATCACTCAGTCCGGTTCTGGAATGTGCAGTTAACCCTCTCCCTGCACAGACACGCTGCCTCTCATGTGTTCTCTGTGCAGCTCAGCAGAAGGGCTCGTCCTGGGCATAAATAACCACTGCAAAAGCAGGAAATGAGTTTCATTTCGGAGAGAGCTGTTTCCACAGAGGTGGTCTCCCTGGCCCCCGGCAGGCTCTGTGTGCCTACCTGTCTGCAGCTGTGTCCTCATGGAGGGCCATTTTCCTCTCTGGCTCAACAGAAACCACTCCCGAGGGCTATGAACCTGAAGTGGGGGATGATTGAGAATGGTTTCTAGAAGGAGAAATGATGTCTTTCCATGATGTTTCCAGTATTGGGGTTCAGTTGCATGGTGATTGAACTGCCAGTCATTTGGGGACGGTAGAAAGCTTTGTTTGTAAATTTGCTTGTCATGTGTTCATAACTGCATAGTGTGGGGTGTTTCTTGCCTTGGGCTGTAGCTGGCTTTGCTCACCTTTCTAAGTAAGCTGAGGAATTGTTTTTCAGACTGGAGTGAGGAATGGCTTTGGCCATGGGTGTTGGATTGGCTGTGGGATGGGTGTGGGCTGAAGTCCTGCTCTATCACTTATTTCCTGTGGGATTCAGCAAGTTATTGATACTCTTTGACTCTGAATTTGCTTATCTGTGTGTGAGGGGTAATAATAATAATACACGATGCATAGGGCTGCTTGAGTACTGAGTAATGTGTTTTTCACAGCAGGCAGCCAGCAAGTAGCAGGTATTCATTCAGCACACACTGGGTGGGCCCCTGCCGTGTGCCAGGCTGTTTAGGAGCTGGCCATACAAAGACAGATAAGGTAGCATGTGCTCATCTCAGCCAGGGCTGAGTTTGCGTGGTTGCTCCAGATCGGGGTTTCTCAGCCCTGGCACCACTGACAGTTAGGGCTGAGTAATTCTCTGCTGTGGGGCTGTCCTCATTGTTGTGACGCTTCTCTGTGGACAACTGTGGGTTCCTCCCCTCCCCTGTCTTTGATGGGTGGTGTCTGGAGAACCATCTGAACCCCCAGTGGAAAGCTGAGCTGGTAGATAGAAGCTGCATGAAGTATTTGTGAACTATATGCCTCCCTGAAGATAGTTTATTAAAGGTTTATTTTTTAAAAAATTCTTTGCAAGGTACGCGTTTAATTTCCACTTAGCTCTTCCCTGATCTTGTCGCCCAGCCCCATGTCACAAAAGTGTCAGGCTGAGGCAGTGTGGCTGGGTCTGCTGGCTTCAGCCTCTTCATAAAGACACAGCATCGAGGCCCAATTTCGATTCTGTCATTGGAAGTGAAAAATGGAAACTTGGCCCCGAGGCAGAATGGTGTCAATGTTTTTGAAGATGAAGGCATTAAGGCGGGAGCATTTAAATGATTTATTAATCTGTTTATGCTGTCAGGGAGGAAACTTGTCAAGAGCAGGTGAGCGAGATGTGATGCAGGGTGAACGATGCTGCTGCCTCTGTGTCGGTGACCTTCTCTTGCAGGTAGTGTGCTGGGCTCGACTTCAGCTTCTAACCATGGAATTTCAGCCAGTGCACAGAATTTTCCTGTCAAAATGTACAGCTCTGGCGTTAATTTTCCCTAGGCTGAAGGGCTGTTGGCAGGTCTTGCTCACTGAGTGCTCTCTGGAATTTTGGTGGAGTGCATTTCCGTGCTAGCAGGAGGGATGTGGGTGGCCAGATATAGGCGATCCAGTCCAACAGGACTTTGCAAGGACCACTGGGGTTAGATGAAAGCTGTGTGGTGGTGTTTGTGTTTTCATCGCAGGGAGGCTGTTTGCTTCTGCAGTATTGCAGTGCTGTTCACTCCTGAGCAGTATCGGCCCTTTTGTGCCTGCCTGTCCTAGCCTTTCTAAAGCCTTTGAGCCTTGAACTTCTTGAAGGATGCATTGTGTTTTCTGGGTTACTTATAAATTCTTTAGCATGGTGCTTTTCCCCCATGGGAATGTCAATAAATGATTTTTTTGGAAAAGAGCAAATGGTCTTTATCAATGAATAATAACACTGACACAACCATCTGAACTTCAATAGCCTTTGAATATGCTGTGCTTCAATGGCTGCCCTTGTGATTAAAGGTGAATTCTTTAGATTCTAAGGTTGGACCAACTGAGATAAACTATGGGGCTCTGTTGTTGTTTTCGTCTCAAAATAATTGTTCTTGGTAGCAAAGGAAAGGGAGAGGCAGTAGCTGTAAATTTGTCCTTGGGTCTTGTGCAAAGCAACTGGTCCCACTGCCTGCAGGTGGAGCATTTCAAGGTGACCTCTAAGCCGGGGAATTATTGTTGCTTCATATCAGAGTTTAAAATGTTTGTTCTACTGCTAAAAGAAAAAGTGGGTAGTGTTCATAAAACCAAAATGCACAGGTGTAAATATAAAAGGTGAGATAATGACAAACTCGACTTTACAGTGAGGCTTTTTAAAAACACTTCTTGAGTCTTGGAAACAGAAACATAATTCTCTCTTAGTCCAACCACCTGTCAGCTGTAAGTGGTCATTATTTCATCATTTTGCAATAAAAGATAATAGAATAACGATTTATATCTCATGGCTGATGTTTTAATGTCTCTCTCTGTTATCCTGGGCTGACAGTCTGTGATTATAGTAAACGTTTTCACGGTGACACCATGGTAATGACTTCTTAATAGGAGGATTATTTCAAGTTTAAATCATGTAGCTGCAGACCAGCCTTGGCCCTGCCTTACCTCTGTCTTCTTTGGGGAGATGGTCTTGGTGCTCAGCTGGTGATTCTACCCCTGTGCTTTCACGGGGACACTCTGAGTCTACAGCCACAGCCCAGTGCCACTTCTGAGGGCCTGTGGGTGCCTGTTTCCTGTTGATTAGCAAACCCGATCAGTGGCTCTGGTTCTATCTTTTGTGGCTGTGATATTCATTAGTTTTAAACAAAAACAACTGCATTTAATTTAATGAGGTAGAAAAGCAGTGACATTCCGAAGGTGCTCTTCATATCAGGTGCAGGGATGGCTCTGACTCACCTGTGCTGTCTTTCCAGGTCCCTCTCTCCTGGGGACTGGTGGGAAGGCAGGAGTCAGGTCTGTGGTTTGTATGTTGGGGAATGGAAAGTTTGCAAGTGGAAAATCTTTTAATCAATTTGAATTTCATCTACTTGACTTGAGTTCCCCAAAACCTTTTACTAATATGATCTCAAGGTGATTTTTGTTATAAAAAGACATTAGTTGGGCTCTGAACTTGGGTTAATTACCTGGCATCTACAGAAACATAAGAATTCTTCTTAGTTTAAAAATAACTAGTTCAGGTGGAACTCCATAATAGTTACACATGAAACAGGGTTCTAGTCAGTACAGATACTGCTCGACTTATGATGGGGTTATGTCCCAATAAACCTACCTGAAGTTGAAAACATTGTAAGTAGAAAACGCATATAGTACACCTAACCTACCGAACATCATAGCTTAGCCTCGCCTACCTTGAACGTGCTCAGAACACTTACATTAGCCTATGGTTGGGCAAAACCATCAAACACAAAGCCTGTTTTATAATAAAGTGTTGAAGATGTCATGTGTGCTGATGAAACACAGAATGGTGGTGTGGGGACTTGAAGTGCAGTTTCTACTGAATGCAGATCACTTTCACAGGGTCATAAAGTCAACAGAATTGTAAATTGAGCCATCGTAAGTTGGGGACTGTCTATATTGGCAAGCTGTGATTGACATTTCATATGTTGAGCGTTAGGTGATGCTTGAGTATAAAATGGTCGGCAGATGAGTGTGTTTGCAGGGTCCTTGTGTAGCTGTGGTCCGGCCTGGTGTTGCCCAGCCCTGAGGGCAGGGTGCACAGCTGCTCCAGCTTCTTTCTTCTCTAGAGGGTCTGGGGTCTGTGGGCATTTTTTGTGGTGGAATTCCCAAGGATGGGAAGGTCCTGGAACAAAAGTAAGTTGTCTGATGTTGTGGATGTTGGGCACTCCGGAATGACAAGTTCTGACACCGACTTTTGGCTCCGAGGGAGATTTTTGACTGCACTGTTCTCTTCCCTTGTGCCCTGGAAGGACTGCGGTATTCCACATGAGGGAGCATGGTGGAGAGTTCTGGATGCTGGTGGCGTGTATGTGAAGACAGTCGTGGGGGTGAAGGACAGGGCTCACCTGCGTCCTCTTTCTGTGTTTCCTTCTCTGCAGGCTGCAGACGTTCGACCCATCATCTGGCTTATGTTTTAGCTGTCCTCTGATTTCTGTTTTGCAGCCCTTGTATTTTCATACGTCCTTAAATCACCCTAATATCGTGGCTGTGGTAGAAGTGGTCACCGAAGGCAAGAAACAGGATGGGACTCTCCAAACATTGTCATGTGGGTTTGGAATTCTTCAGATCTTCAGCAACAAGCCAGAATCCCCTACCTGCGCTTCCCAGGACAAACGGTATCTGCCCTGTTCTCTACATCTGTGGGGTTCTCCAGCATCTCCAGGGTGATGTAACTGCTCATCTCTTGGTGACAATAGAAAGCCTTAAGTTTGTTATCTTTGGTTGTTGTGTGTTTATAACAGCATACTGTAGGATATTTTTTGCTTGGGGTGGGGTTAGTCTTTTCTAAGTAAGCTGAGGAATTGTTCTTTAGGCTGGAGTGAGGACTGGCTTTGGCCATGGGCATTGGATTTGCTGTAGGATGGATATGCACTAAAGTCCTGCTCTAACACTTATCCTTGTGGGATCCAGGCAAGTTGTTTACAATCTTTGGCTCTGAATTTGTTCATCTATGCACGAGGGGTAATAATACACATTGCATAGGGTTGCTTGAGTATTAAGTAATATGTTTTTCAGAAACAGGCACCTGGTAAGCAGTAGGTATTCATTCAGCAAACACTGGTTGGGCACCTACTTTGTGCCAGGCTGTTTAGGAACTGGACATACAAAGATGGATAGGGTAGTGTGTACTCCTTTCAGCCAGGGCTAAGTTTGCGTGATTACTGTAGATCAGGGTTTCTCAGCCCTGGCCCCACTGACAGTTTGAGCTGGATAATTCCTTGCTATGGGGCTATCCCATGCATCACAGGATGCTTAGCAGCATTCCTGGCCTCTACCCACTTGGTACCAGAAGCACTCCCTGCCCAGTTGTGACAACCAAAAATGTCTCCAGACATTGCCATGTGTGCTCTGGGGAGGCAGGAGCACGCCGGCCGAGAACCACTGCTCTAGATGCATAACCATGGAAATTTCTCAAACATTATCTTTCTTGGGACATTTCAGAGTTCTGTATATTTCCTTTGGCCCTGTTTTCTAGCTCTTCATACTTGGGCTGCACTGGACAGGCCGTATATGTTCCAGGCATGCTTGGCCAAGAACACTGATTGCCAAGAACACTCATGCTCTCCTCAGCTGCCTCTGTTTTCTGCAGAGGGTGTGATTGATGGCATTTAGAAAGCTCTAGTAGGCATGGTGGTTGGGGCTCCTATGTACTTGCCTTTTGAGACGTGCAGCTGACCTTTGGTGACTAAGTGTGAGATGCAGCTAGTTGACGTGCATTCCCTGGCTCCTGTTTTCCAGGTTGAGGCTGTACCATGGCACCCCCAGAGCCCTCCTGCATCCGCTCCTCCAGGACCCTGTAGAACGTAAGAGACCAGGCCTGGCCTTGGCAGCACTCGCTGACCTCACAACCTTCCCAAGTATTCCCTACTTTTAGCTCTGTCTTGTGATCTTTCTCAGTGGGAACCACTATTTGCTTAGCTAATTTATTTAATAGATTTGGCAAATGTATCATGGGTTTGAATTTTTGGCATAATTTAAAGAACTGAAGTGTACTAGCCCAAAAGGAGGGTATTGCTTTGTGGGGTTGAGCGTGGGAGGGGTGTGGCCCTGAGAGAGCCACCTGGGTGTGGGGAGTTGACCTCCCTGCCTCTTGGGTAGCAGCTTTGCCCACCAGATGAAGTAGTCACTGTCCTTCACTGGCCTCTGTCTGTCCAGCGACACCTGTGACTATAAGGTCTATGGATTATCTCCAGCACGGCAAGGCCTTCCTAGCCATGCCTAACTGATGAGGAACATTCTGCAGGAAAACCCGCCGTGCTGTAGAACTCCTGGCCCGTCTTGCATGAGGCCCAGAGGTTGAGAGGCCTGCCTCAGAGCAGAGCAGCAGTCCCCTGCTGTGCCCCTGTGAATGGCCAGAGGGACGCCAATGCAGAGCCAGTGCAGCCCACTCTGCTGCTGCCCACCCACCTGGAGGATGGACAGGAGGGTGCACCGTGGAAGCTCGGGCTGGTGGGGCGGGGGCTGGGCCAGAAGGATGTGGGAGAGGCCCAGAGCCCAGAGCCCAGAGCTCTTTCCAGCTGGCATTCCCCAAATTTACTAAGACGTTACGTCATATGATTCAGGGTTCAAAGCGTATACAGAAGTATAAAAAGTTCAGAGTGAGGTCTCCCTTCCCTCTCCCTCGCCTGCCACCACAGGGGACTTCTCCCTGCATTCTTATAGATCCTTCCAGGTCTTTCTGTGGACATGGAAGCGGACGCCCACATTCAGTACTGAACCTTATTTTTGCCCTCTTTTAGCTCATCGTTCCTAACCTTGCTTTTTACCCTTAACGACAGTGTGTCTTGGAGAATGTTTCATATCCATACGTAGAAAGTGCCTCATTCTTTTCATGGCTGTCACGTGGTGTTTGTGGAATTGCTGGCCCATGGTTGATTGAGTCATCTCTACACGTGGACTGTCAGGCGCTTCTGTGGGAATGGGGGGCTGCAGGCCCTGCTGCAGTGGTGGTCTGCCCTTTTGCAAGTGTGCAGTGTCTGAAGCGCAGCCACTGGGCCCGAGGGTCTGAGCATTTGTGGTGTCGTGTGTTCCTCCTGCTTGCCCGCCATGAAGGCTGTGCCAGTTTTCTCTCTGATCAGCCATGTAGGTTTCAGAGGCATTCACAATTTTAAAGAAGGCAGATCCCATGTTTATAGTGATTAGGTATTAAAAATAGATTTAATTGGGCCGAGCCCGTGGCGCACTCGGGAGAGTGCGGAGCTCCCGCCGCGGGTTCGGATCCTGTATAGGGATGACCGGTGCGCTCACAGCGCTCGCTGGCTGAGTGCGGTGCGGCCGGTCTCAAAAAGGACAAAAAAAAAAAAAAAAGGATTTAATTTAAGAATGGAGGGCCACAGCCAGAACTTTAACAGCCAGACTGGCCTAAGCTGGCGTGGTGTGCCTCAGGAGGTGGTGAGGTCCCCGTCCATGGAAGGCACCCAGCCCAAGCAAGGGTGCCATCTGGAGGAATGTGAAGAGGGCATATGGAGGTCCCTCAGCCCCAGGGCCCTCAGGTGATTCTGGTGTGCCTTGTTGTGCTTGCCAGCTTCTGCTCTGCTGATGCTGCCCCTCCCACCTTGAGGGCCTGCCCCCCGGGTGCTGTGTGACTGGTTCGCTCCAGGAGGCTTTCCCTCTCACCTTGCCTGGGGGTCCGCCCCCACTCCCGCTGCCCCATTGCTTTATCCACACCTTTCTCGTGGTTTGATCCTGTTCTCTCGTGTGCTGTGGATGTCAGTGTGTTTGTGTCTCGGCTGTCACCTCAGGAGTTCAGCCCCTTCTGAGGACAGGGCTGTGTTTCTAATGCCACCAGCTGCCCTGCGGTGCTGTCCGGCTCCTGTGTGGGCTTGAGGGTGTGGGTGCTGAGACTCAGAGGAAGGCAGGCATGGGGCCCAGCGCGTCTTCCAGCTCCCTCTGAGGATGCTGGGGAGGCCTCTCAGCCCCGTGCCAGCTTGTGCCCTCTCCATGCTGGGGGAAAGCTGGGTCAGAGGGCTTTTGTTACATTGGATTAAAAGGAAATGTCTCTTTTATTGTGGTTTGACCAGAGCAAGTTATTAAGGACTGATTTTTTCACTTTTTGGCTGAGCTAACAGAGTGATTCCCTCTCCTTAGAAAACTATGTTTTCCATTTGTGGTGTTTCTTTAAAAGTTTCTCTGCTTCATGGCTGGTTTGACCAGAACTACCTTTGGTTTCAGACATTACATTGGCATTTTCTCTCCCAGAAAACAGACACATGACGCTCATTGAGAACTGCAGCCTGCAATACAGCCTGAAGCCACACCCGGCCCTGGAGCCCGCCTTCCCCCTGCTTCCCGAGAACCTCCTGATGTCTGGTCTGCAGCAGGTCCCCGGCCTCCTTCCAGCTCCTGGAGACACAGGTGAGGGACTTGGCTTTCCTTCACTTCGAGTGTCTGTGTGGCTCACAGTCAAGCTTCCCAGGAGCCAGGCTTCTCCAGGGTGAGCATGGGTGCTGTGCCAAGCACCCTTCTGCAGCTCAGCAGCACGGCCTGGTGGGTGGCTGTGGGGGGAGGAAGGAGGATGGCCACGGTCATCTCTTTTTCAGTCCCTTTCTGAAGAGTGTCACCTCTCAAGTCATTTCCTCCTCCTTTCCTTGGGACAATGCTTTCATAAAACACATAGTTCACGTCTTTATGACCATGGCCAGGAAAACCATGGTTGCTGGATTTCACGCTTCCTGTACCACATACCAGTGACTTGACTATCAATATTATTATTATTATTATTTTATTTTATTATTATTTTTTTTTCCTTTTTGTCTTTTTTCGTGACTGGTAACGGAATCGCAACCCTCGGTGTCGCGCCCGTACCGTGACCGGCAACGGGATTGCAACCCTTGGTGTTGCACCCGCACCGCGCTCAACCAGTGAGCGGACCGGTTTCTATATGGGATCCGAACCTTCGGCGGGAGCGCCACCGCGCTCCCAAGCGCCGCACTCTACCGAGTGCGCCACTGGGCCTGCCCTATATTATTATTATTTTAATTGAGGTAAAATACACATAACATAAAATCTACCAGCTTAACCATTTTTAAGAGGACAGGTCAGCGGCATTAAGTTCATTCAGACCATTGTGCAAGCATCACCACCGTCCGTCCACCTCCAGAAGTTTCTCATCTTCCCAAACCGAAACTGTCCCACTAAACACTAACTCCCCGGTTCCCTGCTCCCAGACCCTGGCAACCACTCTTCTGCTTTCTGTCTCTGTGATTCGACTACTCTAGGAATCTCGTGTAAGTGGAATCATACAGTCTTTGTCTTTTTGTGACTGGCTTATTTTGCTTAGCAGAATGTCTTCTGGTTCATCCATGTTGTAGCAGGTGTCAGAATTTCCTTCCTTTTTTTTTTTTAAAGATGACTGGTAAGGGGATCTTAACCCTTGACTTGGTGTTGTCAGCACCACGCTCTTCCAGGTGAGCCACGGGCCGGCCCTCGAATTTCCTTCCTTTTTTTTTTTTAAAGATGACTGGTAAGGGGATCTTAACCCTTGACTTGGTGTTGTCAGCACCACGCTCTTCCAGGTGAGCCACGGGCCGGCCCTCGAATTTCCTTCCTTTTTAAGGATGAGTGATAATGTTTCATCGTGTGCGTGGACTGTGTTTTGATTGACCACTCGTCCGTCGATGGGCACTTGGGTTGCTCCTTTCTTTTGGCTGCTCTAAATAAAGCTGCTATGAAGGGGTGTGTAGTGACTTGATTACCTTTGAAAACCGAAATTCATGTGAAAGGTGCAGGGCTCTGTCTTGGTGTGGTTTTAGCAGTCGATTCTCAGTGGCCAAGGGACTGCTGTTGTGGGGTATGCTCTGACACTTTGGGGGTGCTGTGCTCTAGGATTCTGCGGGGTGGTCCTCATGACCTGGGCCTTGTGCTCCTTCCAGGTGCTTTCAGAGGCCTTTTGTCTCAGTCTCGAGGAGCAGGAGAAGGGACCACGCCAGCCTCCCCCGTCCGTTGTGTGCTGGAGCTTTCCTGGTGCTGCTCGAGCCTGCTGTCTTGGGTGGGCTGACTCCCTGCTGTGCCCTCGGGAGAGCAGGTTTGGTATCTTGTGTGAATGGCTGAGGTCAGGAGTAGTGGCGTGCGGAGTGTTTGGCTTGTAGAAGTGTTCCAGACCCTGAAGAAAGGCAGCAGCTCCACGCTTGGACGGGTGTGTTTACTTTCAGGGGTGATGTCCCCGTATGTCGTACAGGACTCTGCTCCGTGCTGGGATGCAGATGTTATTATCTGAATTAATGAATTTCTTCACCATCATAAAGTCACTGTTTTTCCAGCATCCCAGACAAGAAACAATGGGAAATGAGAAATTTTCAGATCCCCCTACTGGCCAGGCACAAGAAAAAAACCAAACAACAAAAAATTGACTCTGAACAGGAGCTAGCTGGGGGTCACCAAGCTTTAAATGCCCTCCACAACCCCCTTTAGGAAGCCTTACTGCTCTCTCTAATCTGCCTGTGGTCTCTGACAGGGAGAGGACCCGGAGAGAGTGCCTCAGTGTCACTGCTGTTGAGTGCAGAGGACATGAAAACCTGCATCTGGCCCTGAGACCTGGGCTGTGGCCTGTCCCTCTGGCCCCAGCCCTATTCATTAGGGAGCACCCCGCAGGCACCTCTGTGACATGTTGCTGTTGTGGATACTGATACTGAGAACGTAGCTGCATGCTGACTTTGGAGTCAGCTCTGTGGGTTTCCCTGACCTGAGATTCTTGCCCATGGGTGTCATCAGAACTGCAGAGAAAACAGAAAGTACTTGCAGGTCACTGTGAACTTGTCTGCTTCATTACCAGGGTGGGGAAAGGGAAGCTTAGTGCCAATGTCCCCTGTGTTTCTTTCTTTGTGTCTTACGTCATGTGTGTGGGGGTCAAGGAGCCACGTTAGGGAGAACAGAGTTCAGCTGAAGAAGCAGGAGCGTAGGATGTGTGGTCTCATCTCCTCATCCCTGAAGTTCATGGTTCAGAAGAGCTGGAGCCTGTTGGCCTCACGCTGGCCCTCCTGGTGTGGAGTGGCCAGCAAGTCACTGAGGCCCCAAGCACATGCAGACGGTGCCTGTAAAACAGCAGAAAGGAGCCACGATTTGTGCTGCTGCTGTTTAAAATCTGCTGAGCAGGGAATCTGAAAGCAGAGCCAGCCCCTGCTCTGGTGGTTGGGAGCAAGTGCTGAGTCCACACAGACCGTGGAGGGGAGGACACAACTGCTCCTGCCCCTCGGGGGCTGTTGTAGGAAAGAAAGCCATGTGCTCAGCCTGGCACTCGTGTGCACGATGCCAGGTGGAAGGTGGGATGCACAGGCCTGCGGGAACCGGGTCTGCTTTCTGGCATTGTTAGTGTCCCTGCTATAAAGGCTCCCCAGGAACTTTTGGGCTTTTGTGACTCTCTCGAAAAGGGTTTTTTTTTGTTGGATAATATCTATTAGGCTCTAAAAGGGCCAAGGCTGGGATGGGTTTTATTTTGATGTCATATTGGGAGTTGGATAGTTGTTCATTTGCAAAATGCCACAATATAGGAGGATTGAATTATTTTGAATGGAAATCTTTATTGAGGCCATTGTAGATTCATGTGCGGTTGTCATAAATAACACAGGTCACACCCAGGACAGTGACATCGATACAACTCATTGGTCTCACTTAGGTTTCCCCAGTTTAGCTCACACTCATTTGTGTAAAGAAGCTTACTCATAAAAATAAGGTGACACCCATTTTCTAGAACTGGAACTGCAGGCCATGGGCCAGTGCAGGATTGAATTGACTCCTGGGGAGCTTCCTCAGGGGGGCTCAGGGAGAGCCCTGGCCCAATTCCCACAGCGCTTTTAGGCTCTGAAGGGATGAGGGTGTTGCCTGGATAATCCCCTGAGCATCTGAAGTGTACAGGGCACTTGGCCACCCCCCCACCAGGAGGTTGGTCGAGTGTGAGCTGTGCATTGTTAGGTGTCTGGGGAGCAGGCCAGGCCATTGAGGAGACTTTGGTGGAAGCTTGTTCAAGACCACAGGATGATGTTGTTGAGGTGGTGTGGATGGCTGTTCCTCGTCAAGATGAGTCCAGGAGCTGGGTGCTGTGCGGGGACAGTGGTGGTGCTCCTGGGGGCCACAGCAGGCACGTGCTGGTGGAGAGGTGGGCAGGCCATGCAGCTGCCACAGGAAGTCTGGCTGGAGGGTTGGTGGGGTGGCAGCCAGAGCATTGGGCTGGGAGCTGGTGGCGGGTGGCTGGGGCAGGCTGACTTGACAAGCTGCTGATGGCAGGGCACCCTGCTGGCATTCATGGCTGTGAGTAGTCACTCGTGTGGTGTTTACCCAGGCTCACTGCCCTTGGCTCCCCAGGAGCCGCCCCCCTGCCTCCCTGCATGCATCTCCAGCATCCCGTGTGCCAGGCATGAGCTGGGTACCAGGTCCTGCCTGGTTGTACCAGCTTGCTCTCCTCTAACTGGGCTTCTGCCCCTGTGTCCAGTGGTTCTTTCCTCCGAGCTAGCTGACTTACATGGAGTCTTGGGAAAATGGGATGTTGGGTGAAGAGAGACTGAGAAGATACTCTTCTTGGTCAGGTGAGTTGTTTGGGAGAAGACTGTAAGGGCACTTAGCACACCCCCGCTGCTGCTGCGGTGTCCCTGCTGTCTGGCTCTCCTGTGCGACGCCTCCTGTGGGGAACCACCCTCTTCAAATGCTGCCCTCACCACATTTCCTCCCAGGCCTACAACTCTTGGTGGCTCCAGGCTCTTCATCCTGGCTTTAAATGTGTGCTCATGCCTGACCCTGTCTGCCTACCTACCGAGGCTTCTAACCTGCCAGATCAGGATTTCTGGGGGCAGGGCTCCAGGTTCTTCATTTTAACAAGCTCCATGCAAGCTCCCAAGTGAGACCTGGGCACCTTCACGTGGTTATGGGGTTCGTCCTCCTGCTCCAGATCCTCCCTGTGTCTGGGAGCTCATCATCCATTGCTCCCCTGCAGTCTGGGGTGACGTGGGCTCGAGCCGGGCACGAGCATGGACTTTTGTCTCTTGTGTGCCCCTTTCAAACAGCGCCAAAGACTGTCTTAGAGTTAGACAATTAATCTTTACTCAATAAATTCAGTAAAAACTGAAAATTCTCCCTTCTAGTCTCACTCCCCAGGGAAAACCACTGCTGATAGTTTGGTGTGTACCTTTTATATACTCATGTATTCATTGGTTTATTCAACAAATATTTATTGAATAGATACTGTGTGCAGCAGCAGGCCTCGTGCTGGGTGCTGAGAACACAGCACTGAGCTCTCAGGCGATAGTTAATAGATGCTTAATGAATTTAAGTGAGGGCAGATCTCAAGTCTAACCACAATCACCAAAGGCAACAGAAGGTGTTTTAGAATAAATGTAGACTAACTCAAACTTATTTTCATTCCTGCCTAAATCATTCCTAAATTTAGTTTTTATTTTGTTGCCGCTATTACAATGTTCTCCTTGTTTTATGAGGTGCATTTTTGTGAATTAAATGTTCTCAACAGAAGAGAGATGTCTCTGGGAGGCTGTGGTCGTTGGGAACTTGCTAGGGCCTGGGGGGTTTCTTCAGGCATCTTGGGTGTTTCTGAGTGTTTCCCAGAGGATGCCAGTGGGCAGGGAGTTCATGCTTGTTAAGGGCTGGCCAGTAATCCCCATTTTCTCTGCAGTGCACTTGTGGGAGTCCGAGAATCCAATGGATTGTTGTAAAGTGGGGTGTGTTTTCCCATTGGAGCAGTGCTATTACTGGGAACTGCAGTCTAGCCAGAGACTTGGCAACAGCTAAATTAAAGCGAGGCCCACTTACAGAGTCTGAGGGTCATGTGGCCCAGCCGCTGGGAGGCCAGCTCTGCCAAGGCAGGGCTCAAGTGTGTCTCAGATGCTGCTGTTGGTTGTGAATGAATGAATGAGTAATTTCTGGTAGTAAAATGATGCTACGTGGGTGATGCTGGAGGTTGACAGACCTGCCGTGAGCGCCTGTTCCGCTCCTAGCCACGGCATGAGCTCGGGCACGTTTCCTGACCTCTCCAGACCTTAGTTGTTGTTATTTCTTCTCTGTAAAATGGGGACAGGAATAGGGCCTGCTCCTAGAGGCGTGTTTGGGAGGAAATGATGGATTGGTAAGTCACTAGTGTCTGGCACTTAGCAAGTGCTCAGCAAACATGAGCTGTTGTCTTTCACCATGAAAGTGCTGACTTAAATTCAGCTGAATTTGTGCCTCCTATGCTGGAGCATCCTGGGAGGTCTGATCTGTTTTCCGTTTGCTGGTCCTTTAGACACGTGGGGAGAGGACTCAGCTCCTGCCGGCCTGTTCTTTCTCCAGTCTTGGCTTCTTGAAGGTCACAGAGCAACTTGGTGACTCAGCCAGGCTGGGACTTGGGTACTTTATTCCAGAGCCCACTACACTCACAAGATGTAGCCTGGAGCAGGCTCAGTGGTACCCAGCGCTGCCCTGGCCTCCCGTGTCCTCCAGGGTCTGGAAGGTTGTTCCTGATGGAGATGTGGGCCCTCAGTCTGGTTATCCTGGTGGAACCTCATCTTTGCTCCCATAGGATTCCTGTGCATGGGACTCACTCTCCACCTCTCTGTGCAGACCAGGTCACAACTATTGTGATGGCTCCTGGGCCTGGGTGCATGTGCTCCTCATCATGGGATGGCCATGCAGAGCTTGGGGCTCCCAGGGACCTGCCTGGCTTTCCTCTTTAGCTCTCAGTTCAGCTCTCCCAGGGGCCCAGCAGCTTTCTTGCCTCATCTTCTCTGAAGTTCTGTAGAACAGTCATGTACAGAGGGGGGCTTCCTGCCTCTGCTGTCAGGGAAGGTGGCCCTTCGGCTGCACCTTTTTTTTTTTTTTTTTTTTTTTAAATTCCCTATATAAAGATGACCGGTAAGGGGATCCTAACCCTTGACTTGGTGTTGTAGCACCACGCTCTCCCAAGTGAGCTAACCGGCCATCCCTATATAGGGATCCGAACCCGTGGCCTTGATGTTATCAGCACCGCACTCTCCCGAGTGAGCCACGGGCCGGCCCTCGCTGCACCTCTTTCTTAGTGCAGTCTGCAGTCCACGGTCTGAGGTCTGTCTCGCTTGTTGAAGGCAGTGTTTCTGCACCCCTCCTGTCTTGTGCTCTGACCATGGGGCTGGGAGGCTGTCAGTTCAGGATGTGCTTCAGACATTCCCCTGAGTATCTCACAGAAGGGTGGACTTTATACATTCCTGCAATTTAAAAAAGTTGGGACAAAATTGACATAACATAAAGTTTAGCATCTTAACCATTTTTAGGTGTCCAGTTCAGTGGCATTAAGCACATTCACACTGTTGTGCAGCCGTCACCACCACCATCTCCAGAACTTGTCATCTTCCTGAACTGAAACTCTGTCCCCATTAAACGCTAGCCACCCCTCCCCTCCCCCAGCCCCTGGTACCCACCATTCTCCTGTCTGTCTCTATGATTTGACTACTCTAGGGACCTCGTGGAAATGGAATCATGTAGTGCTTGTCCTTTTGCGACTGGCTCTTTCACGTAATGAACGTCCTCAGGGTTCATCCATGGTGTAGCATGTGCCAGAATTTCCTTCCTTCTTAAGGCTGAATAATACTCCTTTTTGTTTATTCGTTCATCCCTCTGTGGATACTCAGGTTGCTTCCACTTTTTAGCTGTTGTGAATAATGCTACTTGTACTTTTAATTGGTTCTGATTCATTGATTGGCCTGCTTTAAACACTTTTTTTTAATTACGAAAAGAATACACCCATTTTCTCAGAAGCAGCAAAACTGATACATGTTTGTGATGGGGAAAATATAGAAAACTGTAAAGAAAGAAATAATCTGCAGTTGCTGCCTGCAGACATACGTGCATACATGTCACACGCATGCATTTAAAATAGAATTGGCATCAGATGGAATAATGTACAGTTTTTTATGTTACTCCTTTTATCTACAATATCATGATTATCTTTAAATCATTAAATCATCTTTGACAAAATGATTTTTTGTACTTATTTGGCATGGGTGAACAACAGTGTAATTAACATTCCCCTACTGTTGAACATTTGGGTGTTTCCCATTTTTCTCTATGACAAATAATGTTCCAACAATGAGTATTCTTGCACATAAATCTTTGCTCCCACGTTTGACTGTTTTCTCTGAATAGGTTAAAAAAGTATTAGTGGGAAAGAACGTGGGGGATATTTTTAAGGTTTTTGATACATATGAAGGTAAAGACAAAATTGCCTTAGGTGATACCAGCTTACAGCCTTCCAGGAGGATAGTAGAATGTTCTTTTGACAGCAATTTCCTTAGCACTGAGTGTTATCTCACTCAGTGAGATAACAAATTTTCTTTTTTTAACTTTGGAGTTGGCTTTTAAAAATCGAAGACCTTATACCTGAATATGTATGTAATCATAAAAAAAGTAGGAAGAGACAGGGACAGGACCAGAAGAAGATTAAGATGGTGGGGAGCTAAGGGGTGGATCGCCCAGTGTTGTGTGATCATCTGGAAGCAGGTGGCTTTGCTGCAGAGCCGTGGAGGAGGCTCCTTAGAGGTCTGTCACGTGCTGCTCTGCCCTGACACTGAGAAACCGGGCTAGATCCTGGCAGCCACGGTCTGCCTCTGTCCTCTAGGAGCTCACAGTTCAGGGATGCTGCTGGATCAGGACCAGGACTTTTTTCTTGTGGTGCCAGCCCAGGCTGTGTTTTTGCCTGTTGCCTTAACGTGCTCATGTGAATATCTGTGTGTTTCCAAATGGTTCAAGGTAAACGTAGTCAAGTAAGAAGTGGTGTAGTTGGCTGCTTTCCTGCTAAAGAGGAAGTGAGTGTTCCAGGGAGACCGTGCAGACAGGGAGCAGATGTCACTTTGCATTCTGTAATCTGTTCTCTGAACTGCTGAATTACAAAACTTGTTCCAGGAGGAGGTTTGGGGTAGAATTTGGACTGCGAATGAAATTTGTATTTGTTTAACTGGTTTAGCAGTTTGGCTTGCTCGGAGGTGCGTTCTGATGTGGTGTTCTGTGTAAGCAGTTCCTGAACTTTCTTTTCTGCCCATAGGTCCCATCACCTGTGGCCCGAGACCTCTGATGGGTGAGAACCCTCCGCTTGCTTCTGGTTGTTTCATTTCTGAGGATAATCTTACAGGAGCCCTCTCGTTGTTTCAGGTGATGCCCTCCGAAAGCCTCGCCTTCAGAAGTCTGTCACATGGTACTTAGACGATTTATTCTTCACCCTGTATCCCTCCCTTGAGAAGTTTGAAGAAGAGCTTCTGGAACTCCTTATCAGTGACCACTTCCGGGAGGTACTGTCTCATGTCACAGCAACTTAATCTGAATGGTGGAAATGTGTCACAGTTGGGAGAAGCCTCTAGCACCTAATGCCCCTGGGGACTGGCAGTGTGGCCACGAGTGACATAGTCCTGTCTTTTTCCCTTTCCTGGCTAAAGAGGGACGCTCCTTCTGTCCCTGTATTGGTACTTAATGTAGGTTTTAGGGAGCGCTTTTCCTCCAGCAGCCAAGCCCCTTGCAGAGCCTCCAACTATTGTCTTAACTTTGGATGGTGGAGACGGTGCTGTTGGCCTGAGGAATTAATCAACGTTAATTTTGATAGACTGTGAAACAGTCCTCATAAAAGTAAGCTAAGTCACCAGGTGAGCATAGGGAAACCTGTAAAATACTCTCCATCTACACAGGACATTTTGATGATATTTGGCTCCTTTTAGGAGGAGGCTGGAAAGAAGCCCCAGTCATCTTGCCTGTTGAGGTGGTTGCTGCGGGGGGCTCCCTAGCCTAACACTCCTGCCTATGTGAGTGCTTTCCCGTCAGCTCTGTGGTGAGCACCTGTGTGGGGAGCATGAAGCTGTTCCTCTCCGTTGCTTTTAAATACGTGGATTCGTCCAGGTGCCCTGGCAGGGTTATCCGGGGATACCTATTTGTTAGCCAGCAACTTTCAACCTGTTTGCCTGTGGTCCACAGTACAGTAAGTGCCTATCGTACTCCTGTGCCCGTCTGTACACATGTGGCACTCAGGCTTGCCTTGTACACAGGGTGCCTGAGGTTTCCTTTCTGGTCCCATCCCATTGCTGACCCAGCTTGCAAGCTGTAAAGTACCAAGGCCAAGGAATTTCTAGTTTTCATCCCTCTAATGATAAGGATTCTCTTGGATTTTCAGTGTAGAAGTTTGTATGACAGAGATCCTTGGAAAAACCTTTGTAGATTTGGGGGACCTCTGTTTTCTCCAGGCAACAATCTTTCCTTCATCTGGAAAATTGGGCTTGATTGACTGTCACAAATGCTGTTAGATCAGGGTCTGTCTGGCCGTTGCCAGCGTAAGTGGGAACGGGAACGTGAGATGCCCTGCAGCCCGCTCCGTCCTGCTCGGGCCCTGAGCCTCGGCCTCGCTGCCTGCTCATTAACTGATGGCCCTGAGCTCGACACAGGTCATCCCTGCTGTCGCTCTCAGCTCTGAAAGAAGGGGCCTCCAGAGATTTACTGCGGACAAACTGCTCCTGGTCTCCCTGCCTAGGAAGAGTCTTCACTTCTGACTTTTGAAATGAAAAGCAAGAAACTTTACCAGCAGAGGGCTGAGAAACTGATGGGGATGACATCTTGCTACTACTTAATGTCCTGTCCAGATTCCACCGATTTCATCCTGACTCACACCTGTGGCAGTGCAGGGACCATGACCTTGTGGCCTGGAGAATGAAGACAAGGGAGCACTGGGTGGCCAACTCCTGTCCTGCTCCTCCTGGTTATGCCCTTTCCCCCCACCCAGCCCCCAGGCTGTTATTCTAATCATGTCTTCACTTTATGTTCTGGTTTCATGACCTTTAGCCACATCTCTAAATTACGTAGGCTTGCCTGCTTTTGACCCTTGTTTGAATGAAATCATACTTTTTCTAAGTTTTGTTTCTTTTGCTTAACACCGTGCTCCTGTAAGATTTGTTTTCACAGTTGGCATAGCTCTGTCTGCCCACGTTCTGTGCTGTCTAGTACTCCACCGTGTGCGTGCACTGTGGTTTTTTTGTCCATTCTAATGTTGATGCACTTCTGGACTGTTTTCAGTTTGGGGCCACTGTGACTTTGCTGTGAACATTTTTTTGTGTGCATCCTGGCTCTGACTTAGTAGAATCTTGAGCAGGAAGTAAAAGGGACTTTCTAGAAAAATACTCACATGTCTGTAGTTAGCTGGTGGGTCAGCTGGGGGCTGGCTGGTCTAGGATGGCCTGGGCTCCCTTGGGTGCCTCATTCTCCAGCAGCTAGTCTAGGCTCATTCGCACAGAGGTAGAGGACTGAGAGGGGAGTCAGAAAGGCACAGACTGAGAGGGGAGTCAGAAAGGCACAGACTTTTTCAAGCCTCCTTTTGCATTAAATTTACAAATCCCTGGCCAAGTCCAATTAGAGAGGTAGGGGACTTCGAGTTACAGGGTAAAGGGTGTATCTTCAGAGAGGCATGACTTGGCGCCATGAACGAGTCATCTTCCATAGGGGTTTTGGTGGAATTCCCAGATTTTGCAGCAGTAGGTCAGGCACAGAACACCACCTGCCTCCCCTCGGAGCGGAGTGCCCAGGTTTTATGTCTGGTCTTGGTGCCCAGGTCTTGAAGGCTGTGCTGTCGTCATGCCACCTTCCCCGATTGGTGGCTGTGGATGATTTTTGCTGCTTTTGTTGTTTTTGCTCATTAGGAGTTGGGGGAAGGAAATTCTCTGAGGACATGCCAGTCTGCCATGTTCACTTGGGAGTCCAGAGAACATCTTTTTTTTTTTTCTCACTCAGTAGCCAAAGTGGTCTTTTAAAAACATAAATCCAGTCATTTTTCTTCTCTGTTGGAAACCATCTGCCAGCTTCTCACTGCCCTTGTGTTCAGGCCGTGTGTGACTTGCTCTTACTCTGGGTGGCTCCCCGGGCTGCTTCCCTGCTATGTGGGCCTTGGTGGCTGTGGGCTTGTGCTCATCCCTGCATTGGTGGTCATGGCTCATGCTTGTCCCTGCCAAGGGCCTTTGAATGGGGAGCTCCTGGACGTTCTTCTTGCATAACTTTGCATGGTCCCTTTAAGGTGTCAGGTCTTGCCTACCTGCTCTGGGCGGCCCCTGGGAGCACCTGGCTTTCTCATCTGTCCATGGGTCATCACCTATCCCCTCTGGTGAATGTTCGTGTCATAAGGACAGGACTTTGTTTTGTCCATCACTACACGTGATGTGCATTGAAGGTGTTTGGCGCATAGTAGGGCTATATCATTTAGTTGTGAGAATGGATGATTCTGTCAGTAGTCAGAATTCTAGTAGTCTGTGAAGTTAGCAAGTTATTGGTTACAAATGTATATGAATGAGCTGGACTTTTTTGCTCTCTGCCCACTGTTGAAAATGTAGTTGCATGTAATATGGTCTCATATGAAATGCAAACACAAGGCAGAGAATAGCACTGAAATAACAACGTCCATTTTCTTGGTGTAGTTTCTGCTGTTTTCTTATTTTTCAGAGTGGATTGTGTGAGACTAGAGATGTTTTAAGAGTATCATTGTTGAATTTTGTACATTCCCATAAAAATCATTTGTGTTTTTACCACCTTTGTATTTTTGTTTCTATTCAACTTGCAGATACTCAGTTATCTCCATGGTTTTAGTTTCATTATCCAAAGACTAATAGGATAAACCTAAGTCTGTTCAGCTTGATTAATGGACAGTGAAGGAGACTTGAAAATTTTGCAAAGATCTCATAATTTAATAAACCTTAACAGCCTGGAGGAATATCCCTGTTCATTTGTTAGAGCACCTGTACATTTTTGGTTAAGATGAAACAGTTTAATATCCAGTGACCAGTTTGGGGCAGATTCCCTTTTTATTGGTTTGTGCTTACTGCGTAGGCCTGCTCCCTCTTCCTGCCCCCACTTGTGCCCCAAGTCTCTAGTCCCTGGGTGGACAGAGCTGACTCTTGACCTGCTCTGCCTCCGGGCACCTCTCTGTTATTGTGTCCCCTCCACCCAGGGGAGGTGGGCTCCTAGACCTTGGAGGCCTGAGTCTTGTTGAAGGAGTTGAGGTCTCTGGTGATGAGTTGCTCACCCTGAGAGTTGTAACTCACTCTTGGAAAGCTGGCGCGAGGGTTTGGCCATGGAGGCATCTGCGGGGTGTGCTGCACTGAGTAGATCATGCTGTGTTGGAGAGCCAGTGCCACCTAGGAAATGCCCTGAGGCTACGGTCATGACTGGGTGATGTGTCCTCTGTGTGGGTTCATTCTGACTGAGTGTCATCTGATCTGCAAATGCCTGCAACTTCTGTGGTGGTTTCTATGCTGGTACCAGGCTCATCCCCTCTGCCCTGTGCCTGTTCCAGGGCGGCGGTGTACTGGACAGTGGCGCCCTGGAGATCCTGGAGCGGCGCCTGCACGTGGGCGTGCACAATGGTCTGGGCTTTGTGCAGAGGCCTCAGGTCGTCGTTCTGGTGCCTGAGATGGACGTGGCCTTGACGCGCTCAGCCAGCTTCAGCAGGAAAGTGGGGTCCTCTTCGAAGACCAGGTATTTTTCACAGGGTTCTGAGTCTCAACCACATGGAGTTGAGAGGGCTGGGTGGTGCCATAGGAAGAATCACACTGGAATGAGGTGGCTCTTGGCATCAGGTGTGGACTTGCCCACGTGGAGGTTCCTCCCTGTAGTTTTCCTTTCCTCTTGCTAAGTTGTACCCTTTAGGAACAAACGTCAGATGTGTAAGGCTGGGAAAAGCCCGTTTCAGTGCTGTGACAGTTTTGGAGTTAGCATTAGGGATGCTTGCAGCTGTGGAGACCCCTGCATGCTTCTTCCAGATGTATCCTCTGTGGCTTCCTACATGCTGGAGACCAGACGGCCTCTCTGTGCAGACGAGTCTTTCCCAAATCAGATGCCACAGATGTCGCTGTGAGGCGTCAGGCCTCTCTTCTCTCTTGTGATAGTGGGCAGGGGCCAGCCGTCTTCTGCAGCAGGCCCAGCCCTGGGGAAGGGGCCTTGCTCTTTGTGGTGCTTCCTGGTTACGTGGCTGTAATTCCACCCTCCTGCAGGCAGGCTCTGGCAATTTGGAAAAGGTGTTGATTGTGACACTTATAAAAAGCACTGGTTTAAGGAATTCCCTGGGGGGCCACACCACGTGGAAGAGCTCGGCAGCACTGCATGGTAGACTCCTCACATCAGCCTGCCCTAAGCCCCCCTTGGCTGTCACTGACAGTGGTAGAGGTGGGTGCAGGGCAGGGGGTGCGGACACTCTAACCTGCCTCTGGCTTGTGTTTTTGACCCAGCTCTGGAAACCAGGCTCTAGTTTTGAGGAGCCGCCTGCGCCTCCCCGAGATGGTGAAGCACCCGGCGTTCGCAGTCGTCTTTCAGCTGGAGTATGTGTTTAACAGTCCTTCAGGAGTGGATGGCAACGTAAGAACGATCATCGTGTGTTCAGGTTTCATCTGGTGATGGGCTCTGGGTGGTTAGGATAAGCATGGTTGGCATTCACATTTTTTTTCCCATTAAAAGCAGTGTAATTGTTATTAGCAATGTGGATAAAAAGTATGTGATATGATTCTAGAAAACACTTCTTCCTAATAATAGCTTTGTTATAATCATGTCCCATCTTTATGGCCATAGTACTGAGACTGTAGGAAAACACAAACTCAGTTTCTCCTGCTATACTCTCACAACACGCTTCTGACACCAGATATGTGGGGGATTTTCCTCAATCAAGCAAGCAATCAATTCTGCATGGACACTGGTTGGGTGTCCTCTAATTCAGGTCATTTCTGACACTGTCTGCCAGGAGATAGCAACACCTTAAGGGCTCAGTCCCCAAGACTGTCCCCCACTTCCTATGATGATCTCAAGACCCAGGTTGCTTTGCTTGTGCTTCTGACCCACTGGCTTTAAATTGGGGTTCCCACAACCCTCTCCTCGGGTTTGACTTTCACTGAGCAGCTCACAGAGCTCAGGATACTGTTTACTTACATTTACCAGTTTATTATAAAGGATATTACAAAGGATACAGATGAAGAGATATATGGGGTGAGGTGTGGGGAAGGGACGTGGAGCTTCCATGCCCTCCCCAGGTAGCACCCTCCAGGAATCTCCACGTGTTCAGCTGTCTGGAAGTTCTTCAAACCCAGTTTTTTGGTTTTAATGGAAACTTTATTACTTAAGCATGACTGAGTAAATGACTGGCCACTGACTAACTTAACCTTCAGCCCCTCTCCTCTCCCTGGAGGTTGTGGGTGGGCTGAAGTCCCAACACTCTAATCCTGCCTTGGTCTTTCCTGTGACCATCCCGCATCATGAAGCTCTCTAGGGGCTGCCAGCCATCAGACAACTCATTAACATACAAAAAGACAGCACTTTGGAGATTGCAGGTATTTTTGGAGTTGTATGCCAGGAAACGGGACAAGGACCAAGTAAACGTATATTTCCTAGTATCACCAGTACATTGTGCTAGCTGATAGTAATTAATAGTTCTGTAAGTTTAACGTATCATAATGGCATTAAGTTCATAATTATCAAATTCATGATTAATTTGAAAAATGAGGTCATTTTAATGTATTTTTCATATGATAGCAAGTGTGGTAAAGCTTGAATATGCATAAGTGATAAATGGCTTTTCACGTGGAACTTTATATGTACCTATATCATAACTAAGAGTAAAAATGTATAGATTCAGGTGGAAGAAATATAACGTATAGACATCATCTACATCATTGATACAGATTCTTTGGAAAACCTAAATCATGCTATACTTAAGATTCAGTTTTCTGTTTGAAAAAGCTATTCAACTTAACAAGTAAATTAAAAAATAGAAGAAGGCTCACAAGACATCTCTCGTGGTGATCTGGCCTGCTGTGGTTCTGGGCATAGCTGACGGAAGAATGTGACGCATCGAGGGCAGTCTTGGGTGTTGGAGCATAGCTGCCATTTCATGTTCTGATCTCTGGCAGCTCTGACCTCCCCAGTGTCCACATGTCAGGTCTGTATAATCCAGAGTCCTAATTAGGTGAAAAAAATCTAGAGGTAGCAGGTATCCTTGTAGCCTAATCCGTGGTCACAGTCATTTTAATGAGACTGTTGTTCCCAGTTTTGCTTTTCTTTATTATCAGAAATTTCAGCTAAAATGCAACTGTGTGTGAGCACTCCTGGGTGGGTGGAATCGGGGCATCCTGGACTGGGACGTGGCTCACTGAGGCCTGGAGCTTCTGGGGCTGGGAGTGATGGCCTATGGGTGCCTGGAGGTGGCGGGAGGAGCAGCATGGGCCTGGTGCCTTGGTGGGAGCTCCCTGCCTGCCACTGTAGATGCCTGACTCACAATTAGACGCCTCACTCACAGTGTCCTCTGCAGAATGTTAACTACAATTTACTTGTGATTACGGAGACTGTGTGCTGAAACCGAGGTGTCTTACGTGGCACTTTATTATCTTTAACTCTTCACTGAAATGCTTGCAATGGCAGGCGGTTGCCGTATGTTGCTGCTTTGTGGAGCTTTTGGAGTGTGGCTATGTAATAGCTCATCAGTTCTTTCTGATGTGGAGGTTGATCATGACATGGAACACTGGATTCCATTTTACCATCATCAGGTGTACTTTCTTCAGTGTAGTCTGGAAAGGAAATGTCCCAGTGTATGGAATGGTTTTCCACACAAATTATCTGTCCTGTGGGACATTGAAAACACGCTGAGCTCTCAGTGGGTGAAGCCTGAATCGAGCATTCCCAGCATGAGCAGATGTGGATGTTGGAGGGGAGACCAACAGTGCTGCGTGGGTGCTGGCATGGCCTCTCGTTCCTTCCGTCTACTGGGTCTGTGCAATGGTGGGGACACAAGCCCAGGGCCTCTGCTGCAGGCTGAGGCGTGGCCCCAGGAGGGACGTGGCCCATGTCAGCGTGTCCTGTCTCCCTTTAGCAGTCCATTGCAGAGCTAGCGAGCTTCAGTGGGGGTGAGGTCTTCTCAAATGTACTCATGCATTCAGGCGCAAATTTCCTTCTTCCTTAAGACTTTATGTGATGGAGATCTCAAGCGTAAACAAAAGCGGACTGGATAGTAAAATGAACCCATGTAGCTTCAGCAGTTTTCAATTTGGTGGATAACTTGCTCCATCCATATCCTTTCCCACACCCGTTTTGAATGATTTTGAAGCAAATTTCAGGCGTCATTTTATTTCATCTGTAAACATTTTAGCGTATACATTTCTTTTTTTTTAAACTTTTTTATTATGGAAAATTTGGAGCATGATGGAAGGTCGAGAGGAGTGTGTGATGAACTCACGCGCCCATCACCAGATACAGCTGGGTTGACTCCCAGCCAGTCTAGCCTCGTCCCTTCTCCCTGTCCCCATTCTACCCAGGTTCTTTAGAGTGAGCTCCAGACCTCGTGTTGTCTCATCTCATTTTGAAGTAGTTCACTATGCCTCTCCAAAAGACAGGGCTTAACAACATCACCACGAGTGCCACGATCACACTGAAAAACTGAAATAAACTTCAGTGTCATCAAGTATCCCATCAACCTGGGTGTACATCTCAAGTATTTTACTGAATCAGAAACGACAAACCAAACCAGTGTACCTTTCTCTGGAAAATGACTCCCGAGCGAGGTCTTCCTGCGTGAGCTGGGCAGCCCGTGTCTTCTCCCTTGAGGAAGGAGTCCTAGCGTGGCCTTGACGCTGTGATCTGTCCTCACAGTGGCCTCTGCACCCATCACATCGTGTTCCTTTATTCCTCATACTCGAAGAACCAAAATGCTCCAGGCTTCCAGCGATTGCTTAAGTTCGCTTCATGCTTCAGAGCAGGAGCTGAAAGCTGCGGTGTCCTGAGGCCCTTTGTAGAAGGATTCATCTTTAAATGGCCTATCCAGGTGGGTGGGAGACCATCCAGGCTAATGAGAAAACTGGCTAAGTACTGTATCCAATTTGGGCGAGCAGGAAAAGCATAAACCGAAGTAAAATGTGTTTCCTGGACTCTTTTACACGCATCAACACCAAAGAGCAACTCTGACTCCTGTGACCTAATGTGTGGAGGTTTCTCCCCAATAGCAAGCAAGCAGGTCTGCAGCAGACACCAGCTGGGTGTCCTCTAATTCAATGCAGTTCTGACACCAGCTACCTGGAGACAGTGTCAGATCCCACAGGGTGAGGGCTCAGTCCCCAGGAGTACTCCCCCCACCCCCTTCAGATGCCTGTTGCAAGCCTAGGCTTCTAGAACTTCTTCTTTTTTTTTTTTCCTTTTTGTCTTTTTTACTGACCGGTAACGGGATCGCAACCCTCGGTGTCGCGCCCGCACCGCGCTCAGCCAGTGAGTGGGAACCGGTCTCCACATGGGATCTGAACCCTCGGCGGGAGCGCCGCCGCGCTCCCAAGCGGCGCACTCTCCAGTGCGCCACCGGGCCGGCCCGGCTTCTGGAACTTCTGACCAGCTATAAATCAGGGTTCCCACAGCCCTTTGCTTGAGCTCACAGAACTTGGGGAAACTCTTATGTTTACTGGTTTATTATAAAGGTTGTTACAAAGGATACAGATGAAGTGATGGATGGGGCGAGTATGGGGTAGGGGTGCAGAGCTTCCATGCCCTCCCTGGGCACACCACCCTCCGGGCACCTCCACGAGTTCGGCTGAGGAGCCCTTGAGTTTTTATAGAAGCTCCATTATGTAGGCATGATTGATTAAATCACTGGCCATTTGAGATCAACTTAATCTTCAGTCCCTCTCCCTTCCCAGGAGGTTGGGGGGTGGGACTGAAAGTCTTGCCTTGGTCTTTCCTGTGACCAGCTCCCATCCTGAAGCTACCTAGGGGCCACAGCCAGCTACAGGGCAAATGATTAGCATATGAAAAGATGGCACTTTGGAGATTCTAAGGATTTTAGGAGTTGTGTGCCAGGAGACAGGGAATACATATTTTCACCATATTCCACAATTTTCACTCAACTGCCTGAGTCCACGTGAATTTTTTTGACCCTGAGTATTTTGTAGACATTAAAAACAGACTAGAGAGCAAAGGACTGCGCAGAGGCGGAGTGAAGCGCGCCAGACCGGCCCAACTCTGCGACCTC